TGATGCTGTAGCGTTCTGAGGTGCTGCCGTGGCAGGTGCAAGAGATCAATTTCTTAAAAAGCTCTGTGTACGGAGAACAGAAGTAACTACCTACTAGCGCTTTTTTAAGGAATTTTATTTTTAAGCAAGCGATATGTGCCTTGTTTGTTTTGCTCAGTGTTGCAGCATGGAGACCGATTTTTGTTTTAATTAATTAAGATAGGAAGACTTCGTTCGTTATGAGTTGGGATAAAGAAAATGCAGAAACAGAACGTACTGTAAATGGAAGAAGTGAAACCTTCTTGGAGAAACAAAGTTTTCTTGATGTGTATGGCTTTGCTAACAGAAAATACTTTACTTACGTTTTGATGGCTTTGGTTTTCATGAGAACTTAAAATACATAAAAGTGTGCTCCTATCTGGAATTGTTTCTGTGGTGGCATGGCAAGTCCTTGCTGAAAGGTGGCAGGTTTAGACTAGCAGTAATTATATAAGGTCTACAGATGTGTCTCTCTAAATTTCAGTTGAATGTATCCTGAAGGCTTATCTTTTTTGTGGGCAAGTATCAAAAAAGAGAGTCTTAAATCTCAGAAACTGAAAGGAGGTAAAGAACTGCATCTGCATAAAAAAAATCTTGATTGTTTAAAAAAGTAGGTATTTTATAATGCATGCTAGGTATATGATAACTGTTTGAAATACTTAAATAACGTTGTCAAGTTGTTTTAAGCAAAGTGGAAAGAAAAAATGAGTGAACTGGCAGGCGTAGTATTCTGTTACTCTCTGGAAAAACATCAGTAGCTGGTTTGGTCTCCTGACGTGGATTGGTTGTATGGGTATGTAGCAGGACTGATGCTTTGAGGAAAAAAACTGAGGAGTGCTGAAGAGTGTAAATTTAAAGGCGGTCTTCTGCTGTTATGTAGGTGGCAACTTGAAGAAGATCAGCTGAACTGCAGGCTTTTCAGAGATTCCTTTTCCAAGGAAGTAATTTAAAAATCTGCTGTTTCTAATATTCCATTGGATTTACTAAATTAAGAACCATTCAGACTACTGAACAGTTTATATTGACAATCATACAGATTGTTCTTGGACTAGCTAAAAGTGGTTATATGGCAGCTAGGTTATAAATGTAGTAGTATTTGATCCAATTTCCACACTTACACTTGAGGTATGACGGTTTGTGGTGATTCACTTCTGGTGAGTTGATTACTGTCCCTAGACTTTTTATTTCACTTGAAGGGTGGGGAAATGGTGCTATTTTCTGTTTTGCACTTTCATGTGAAAATTTCCATATACTTTTGGGAATACATCTCAAGAAGCTTGTTCAAGGATATGCATAATTGTTTTTAGCCTGTCAGATACTTAAAGCAAGCTGTGAGGGGCTGAAGGTGAGGACTCTCTGGGGAGTAATGCTTTGTGATGTAAAGAGCTTTCCTCTTTCATAACACTGTTAGTCAAAGCACTTGAAAGTAGTGGTGTGCTAGATTTGCAAGTTTTAGGCTGTTTCCACAGTTGATGCGTCTTGGTTACTGTCTCCACAGAATGTAACTGCTTACCCATGATTTATGTGAGGCAGTATTTGTAGGAAAACCGCTTTGTGCCACCAAGTGTTTAAAAAAAATAAAAAAAAATTAAAATTATGACAGATTCTCATCTTAAATCTGAGGATCCCAATGTAGTTGGTAAACACCTCTTAAGATAAACAGTTGTTTCAACCAGTAAAACAGTAACGATTTATGAAAATGTAAAAGTGAATGTGACTGTATACAGCAAGTTATGGTGCTCAACTACAAAATTTTTAGTCATTTAACTGTCCTCCAATGGGAGCTTTATTCAGTCCTTTCAGTACCTCCCACTACCCAGCATTGGAAATTAGTGTAAGATTTAAAGAAAGAAGGAAACTGTGGTCAAAAAAGGTACCTTTTTTTCTTTTGACTATGCTGCTGTGATTATTTATAGTTACAAATGGGTTTCATAAATAACAGGTTATTCTTCCCAGTCTGTTTTCTTCAGAGACCTTCATAAGAGAGTCAGATTGATACCGTGCTTCTAGTGAAAAACTAAAAGGAAATTTAAAAGCATAATCTTCACAGATCTGCAGAAGATGCCACTTTCAATGTCTGGAAGGAGTTTGGGCCTGTATTTATTGAAAAGTCTTGATGGCTTTCTGACTCTCATGCTCTCTTCTCTATGGAAACCCTAGTCACCTTTATGTAAGATAACGGTGAATAATCTGTGTTCACCTATGCTCTATATGCTTGTCATCCTTTTCTAGCTCTGAAACTTTGGAGGTGGAACACTGAGTTTTGTGGGGAGTGGGGGAGAGTTGTCAAGAATATGAGTTGGAAAACAGATCAAAATGGTAAGGAAGGGATTATGTAACCAGGAGCTGTTGATTAAACATTGAGTGATTTACATAACCACTCCTGTGTAGCCTGCATTTTGTAAGCAAATGCTGCTGCTTTTTCTGCACTTAGCAGTGATACGTTTATGCCCATGTGCCAGCATTTTAACACAGTGCACCAAATGAACAGTTTTCTGTTGATGGTTACATAACTGTATAGAAAGTACTATGGTTATTGTACAGGCTCTCTGTAGCAGGGATTCATAATCATTCTCTCGATTCTGTATTTCCATAGAAGTACTTCAATTTCAGAGTCCTCCAACTGTTTGTAATGCAAATTCTATTTTTGCACCATATTAACAAAGTGCTTTAAATTCTGCATGTATATGCTGTCTGCTAATTTACTAAGTATTCTCCCAGGTGTGCAGCCCCATCTGTTAAAACTTTGACACTTTCCCACTTAGGAGAAACAGAACTTGAAGAAACAGAACAGAGAAACTGCTTGCTACTCCATGGCTCTTCTGGAATTCCTTTGTATTCAATTTATGAATTATCAAATTGAAAAATTGCACAAGTTTAACTTATTCAGGCAGTTAATGTTGGTCTTTTGTAGTTGCATTTAAATTTCTGTCATTATTTCTAATGATAATAACATACAAATTTATCTCAAATTCAATTTAAAATTCAAAGTAGACATTTTAAAGAATTGTATTCCTGATTAAAAGACTGTTAACTTTGTAATAAGATATCTGGATCATGTGGGAATACAAACATTAAGATCTGTGAGCTCTTAGCTGAGCTTCTAGCATGTAATTGTTGCGTTTTCACAAATATACAAGGTACATGCAGAAAATTCTGTACAGCAGAGGTATCGCTTTCCTGATTAACATTTTAAATTCTGTAAGGTTTTTCTTAAATTAAGAAATGCTATAATAACATCTGAAAAAGCTCAGAATTAAAAGATTGGATTATAGTCCTGCAACTGTACAAGATGTTGCTATTCCACCTTTCAGTTAATAAAACAGGGAAATATCACTAGAAGAGTCATAAGCCTCATTCTCACTAGGGTTCTATCAGTGCTGCCTTTGTCACTGTATGAATCAATATGTTGGCCTTTGAAAACTTCATTTAAAGTGGAATATTTTGTAAGAGTACAGTCAGTCTTTATCAGGGGATCGATGAGATGATTTTGTTGGCAGTTGAAGTGCAGAATCTTTCATATGCTGTTACAAACTCTGGGACATCCTGGAGTTAGAACTCTACTGCTATAATTTCATCAAATAACTGTTTTTGTTATCCTAAACTCATGCTTGAAATGCTTAATCTGTCTCAACTGGGTAACATGCTGTTTGTAGCTCCTGCTATAGTTGATGAGTGCTCTTGGATAGAAGAAACACAACAAAATGTGCTGGCATAGCAATTTGTGGCCTCAGTACAACCTTCAGAAAAGAGAGGAATGAGGTGGGGCAGGAAAAATAGAAGTACAGCAGTGACATAGGTTCCAGAAAATGTTGGGTTGAGTTTCATACAAGTCTGCTTAAGTGTTATAAATAAACAATAAATAAATAATAAATATATGTTAAATAAAAAAGAAAAGGTGTAGAAGGAAATTGAAAGATCAATAACTTACTAAGCAGAATTTCTGATTTTGTTTAATTTTTTTTTTCCTTGCAGCACAACACTAAATTTGTAATGAAATGGAGTCTGGGTCAAGCTCTTTTCGAGTGGAATTTCCAGATTTTTCTAGCACCATTTTGCAGAAGTTAAACCAGCAGCGCCAGCAAGGACAATTATGTGATGTGTCCATTGTGGTTCAGGGCCATCTCTTCAGAGCCCATAAAGCTGTTCTTGCAGCTAGTTCACCTTACTTCTGTGATCAGGTTCTCCTGAAAAATAGCAGGCGAATAGTCCTGCCTGATGTGATGAATCCCAGAGTATTTGAAAACATTCTTCTGTCTACCTATACAGGTCGGCTGGTAATGCCCGCTCCAGAAATTGTTAGTTATTTGACAGCAGCAAGTTTCCTTCAGATGTGGCATGTAGTGGATAAATGCACTGAAGTGCTAGAGGGGAACCCGACAGTTCTGTGTCAGAAGATGAACCATGGCAGTGATCATCAGTCGCCGAGCAGTAGTAGTTACAATGGCCTTGTTGAAACCTTTGAACTTGGCTCTGGAGGACAGACGGAATTCCACAAAGTGCAGGAACTAAGGGATGGCGAAAATGAAGAAGAGAGCTCTAAAGATGAACTGTCATGTCAACTGACAGAACATGAGTACCTTCCCAGTAATTCTTCAACTGAACATGATAGACTTAGCACTGGAATGACAAGTCAGGATGGTGAAGAAGGAACTAGCGATAGTGCAGAGTATCAGTATACCAGACCTATGTATAGCAAACCCAGCATCATGTCTCACAAGCGGTGGATCCATGTGAAACCAGAAAGATTTGAACAAGACTGTGAAGGTGTTGATAATCCTTATGATGAACACCAAGTTTCTGAATCCATGAATGCCATTCAGGCAGATCATTCAATCCAGTCTTCAGGTGTTGAAGACTTTCATATAGGTGACAAAAAGATGGAAGCAGAATTTGATGAACAGGCAGATGAAAGTAATTATGATGAACAAGTTGATTTCTATGGCTCTTCTATGGAAGAATTTTCTGGTGAAAGGGCAGATGGAAATTTAAGTGCTCACAGACAGGATCTTATGATAGCAGCAGGCTATGGTGAAGGCATTGAAATGGCTACGGGAATTAAAGAAGAAACGTCCCTCAGTGGATTCTCACATGCTGATAAGCTGTATCCTTGTCAGTGTGGTAAAAGCTTTACACACAAAAGTCAGAGAGATCGGCATATGAGTATGCACCTTGGTCTTCGACCTTATGGCTGTGGTGTCTGTGGTAAGAAATTCAAAATGAAACACCATCTTGTAGGCCATATGAAAATTCATACAGGCATAAAACCATATGAGTGTAACATCTGTGGGAAGAGATTTATGTGGAGGGACAGTTTTCACCGACATGTGACCTCTTGTACCAAGTCATATCAAGCTTCTAAAGCTGAGCAGAGTACTACTGAGATGAACTAAGACATTAGTGCTTACATTTGTTTAGTAGAGTAAGCAAAATAAACTAATTATGCAAATAATGTCTGGTACTTGCTATTGTAAATTCTCAAAAAAACAAGTTTTAATGATTATGCTGGTATAAGCAGACCAAACTTTTATTTCATTTTCCACAGTATTATTTCAGGTGTTCGATGTGTGAAGTGCAAATGGTTAATCTGAAAGGTGCTTGCAAAATGAGGTCTGTAAGGTCTTGTGACATTGACTGTAATCACAGCAGTATTTAGAAGCCCTGTTGTATTTCTAAGTCTTCTAAATTCACAGTAAAACTCAGCTCTAAATTGACACAAATCCTGCAAATACTTACATGAAGCATGAATTCAAGTAGCCCTACTTAATGAAAAAGAGAACTAGGATGATCAAACCAGGATATACGATTCACATTTTAATGAAAAAAATTAGAATTCCACCTCAAACTGGAGACTGCTGACATACTTAACATGCATCATTAGATAGTCTGCATCATTAGATAGCCTGCATCATTAGATAGCCTTTGCTGTATTGCTTAATGAAAGGCTGTGTTAAAGATGGTTTGGCTTTCCTTTATCTGTTGTCCATTTTTTATCCATCTTCAGTAAAACAAATGTTGTCTAATTTTGTGCTGATTTCTATTTAGAGTCTGTAAAGCACTTAAATACAGTTGAGCACTATATAAACTTCAATCTGTATTAGTATAATTTGTCTTTGCTCCTCTAGGGTCTAATGCTCTATGACTCTTGGCTTGGCTTGATTTTGATTGCTACATCACGAGAGCTTCTAGAAGTGTGTGTAATAAGTATGTCGTGTCAAAAAAAAAAAGTAAGATGTAACATTTGGAACTTACCCAAAATCATGAAACATTTAAACTGTAGTTTTCTGCTCAGATTTGTGGCTTACTACAGTAGCAAGTACCAAACTGTGGATTCACAAATTGACTCTTTATTGGTACAAAAACTTCTTTGAGAACTTCTGTCTAGTTTTAGAAACCTGCTTTAGGAAAATGATTTAGTCATTGATAGATATTTATACTTTTAATTCTTTAGTCTTTGAATAGTAAGAACTATAATACAGATTCTTGGTACTGAACTACTGTGACTGGTTACACATGATCAGAAGCAGCCGGAGTTGTTTACCTCTTCAAATGAAGTTGCTTGTGGAAAAAAGTAGAAAGTGTGGTATTTGGATCTATTAATGGTACTGCAGAACATGGTACCATGCTCATGTCCGAAGTCTGGATTTTTGCTGGGAAAGTGGCACCACTTCTTCATTAGGATGAGGATCTATATGCTGGGCTTTCATTCTTGGAGATAGATGGAGGAGCGTTTGTAGTTCCGAGAGATGCTGCCAGCTCTGCAGGTAGAGTGAATGCATCAGTTGTAAAGGTGGCAACAGGATTTTGGGGTTGAAAGCTTAATGCAGTCCTATGCAAAAGCAATTAACCCTTCTTTGTAGTTTACTGAAACATGTTATAAAAAGGAAAGAGCCTTTAGAGCATACATAGACTATAATAGAAAGAGGTGATGTCCAAGTACAGTGCTGGTAACATGGGGAAAAACGTTAACCAGCATCGAAGGCCTAAGCCTGTCTGGCCTCAATTTATATATTAGGTACTGCAATATGCAGGATAATGTATTTAAACAGATGACCCTGTATGGTGAAGCAAAAACACGTAAAGGTAATAACTATTTAGATGCTTTTTTGAACTCCCAGTTACAAATTGTCTTAAGATACAACCGAACTGTATCATGAACATGAATGTCTGGTACAAGCCGGGGGTTTACTACTCAGTGGGCTGTAATTATTGTAACTTCTTTTCTGGCATTCTACTTACAAACTTTAATTTTTTTAAGAGGCTCTTAATTCTTAATCTTCTAATGCTTCAGATATTTTTCATATGGAATTTTGTTAAAACAGATTTTCCCAAATATGATGAACCCATTGCTGGCAATGGGCATGAACGGTCAGCACCACAGAGTTCCTATTCTTAGCACTTAATTGAACTCTACAATATACCATGGTGGCCATATATAACCCTTGTAATCAAGGTAACTAAACAGGGATTTGCTCACTAACACTGTAACCTACTTAATGTATAGAAGCACTTTGTATTTAAAAAGAAAAAACAAACCATAAAACTTTATAAGTATGTTTTTTAAACTTAGAAATTATATTCCCTTTATGGTTTGTTTCCACATTGCTAACACTGTCTTTTTTAATATTAAAAGAAAAAAAATTGTAATGCTTGCCTGTTTACATGAGTGTAGAGGAAAGGGTTCTTGCACTCAGTGGCCCTATTTTTCCATTGTCCAAGGCCTTACTACATACAGGGTGTCATTTCTGCAAGTACCATCATCACATTTGAGGGAAGGTATTCTCATACTCATTTCAAGAATGATCTTGTATATTACATTAGTTCTCAACCCCTTTCAAATTGTCACTTCAGTGTTGCATAAAAAGGTTAAGGGTGCCTCTTCCCATTTAACCATAGAAAAGGCTGGTCAGAAACACCAGGCTGAAAACCATGGTCAAGCAAAAAATTATTTCTGTTAAACCCAGACCATCCTACAGAGCTGCCAGCAAAACTGTTTCTTTTACCAGCTTGGAATGACTGTTATATGGGACATTTCAAAGTTAAACATTACTCCTATTTGCAGTTAGATTACTTTGAAATAAAGCTTTAAAATAAAATGTACTGCGAGAGACACTTTAAAGGTTTTATAACAGGTCCAGTAGATCATATTATAGAACCATGTCCTTTTTTAATGACTTAGCATGAATAGTAACTTTTTAATATTTGCCTATTACAGTTTTACCCCATATTATGACATTGTCTTGAAAGTCCAACAAATGTTGCTCCACTGATTTTTGTAGCCCTTGGCTTTCTGATGTTAATTCACATGAAACCAATTGATTGCAGAAAAATACTGATATGATTGTTATGAGATCTAGTTGAGAGGACTGATGATTTAAGGGAAGCTTGAGATACATGTCTAAAATCCTTACTTTTGCTTATTGCAGGCAAAACAGTTGATTTTTGATGGTTTTCCTGAATTTAATTTATTGCTCTTTGACAAACTTCTAATCACTGATTCAGGTATTGGGGGGGGGGAAGATAACAAAAAATTACTTAAACACTTAAGGAAACATCTTTCTTCCCCCTTCCCCAGGCTCAACTTAAGTCTAACACTTCTCCTCCCTGCCTTTGTAGTCTTATTTCCCTTGTTTTCACTGAGAGTTGCTCTCAGTCCGTGCCAGTTCTTTTAGTGAGGTGACAGATCACACGGGAGGCTGGGCTCTCATGCATGACTCTCTTCATTTCTTAGTGGGTGTCCTGTGCCACTCTGGGCTGGTCACGGTCACTGTTCATGGTGACACTGGGCCATAGTCCCTTCAGGGATGTGCCTGTTCCAGCTTGGGTCTCCTATGGGCCTCAGTTACTTCAGAGGTGTACCTGCTCTGGCATGGCTTACCTATAGGCCAAAGTCCCCTCAGAAGTGAATCTCCTCAGGCACGGCCTTCTGTGAGTGTGTCTCTATACAAGGCCTCAGTGTCGTCTTCATGTGTTTTCCCAAGAGCAGCTCTTCAGTTTCTCCGCATGTGTTTCTTCCCCTTCTCCTTCTGTGCCTCCCTGCACCTCTTGCTAGCAGCCGTCACTCCTTAAGTATGTTTAAGCAGAGGCACTGCACGCACCTCTGGTTGAAGTTTTGGCATGCAATGGATTGTTTGCATCAGTTTCAGTGCAAGCTAGAACCTGTTTTGATTAGCACAGGGCAGTTCACAACCTCTTGTGACATGTCACTCTCATAGCCCCCTGCCACTGAAACCCTGTGATTTACGGCCAATACAGTTGTACATAGTAAACCAAGATATGCAGATGCAGCTTCTGTCAAGCTCTTAATCATTGCTGATGGAGTGGTCTTGTTCAAGATACAGGAAATTATTTCTTGTTTGTGGGGAGGGAAGCAATCCACATATATATATATATAATATGAATGCATATGTATATGATAAATTTCATTAATCTTCCCTTCAGCTTCATCACCTTTAATGATATGGCTTAGAAACATTTGTGCATTTTTATATTGCTCGCTGTTGGCTGTAGTAAAACGAATGTCTTCTGAAAACCAGAATCATTGTACACACAGGAGGCTTTCAGAATTTCCTGCTACTGTGAAGCCACTCGTCCTATCAGTGGTAAGAACACTTAATGATACTACAGCTAAGTTCCTTTTCATTCCATTTTGTAACTAAGATGTTAATTACCATAGAATCTGTGTAACTGCCATTCTGAAAAATTCAACTATTAGCAGGGTTGAGATCTCTGCTTAGGTCTATATCTGACTCTTTTGAGGGAGGAGGTTCCTATTTCATACACCACTTGTTGGGGTTTTTCTGTTGTTGTTTTGGTTTTTAAACATTACCTTGTTTGTTTTATGGGCGAGCAGGTAAACTCTAGAAAGTACTGTCAGTGCAATTTTTGGTCTTGGCTTTTTTCATCTGAGGTTGAGAAATTTTGTCCTGTACCAAAGGCAAGGCAGATGATCAAAGGCTGACGTATTGGGTTTCTCATTATAAAAAGAATACTTGATATCCCTGTATTATTGAGCCTGAAAAGAATGGAGGCATGTCAAGTCTTGCAATCTCAACACTTTTGCGTTGGTGCCAGAAAGGTGACCTGTCTTTGAATTATGAGAGCCTACAGCAGTATATTGAGTATTTTGCTTTAACAGAACCCTTCTCAAAACAACAAAGGAAAGTTTGGGATTTTCGCCATTTAAATGCTTCATTGGATAGCTAGGCTTCTTTAGCTATAAGCTGTAAACTGTCAGTGCCCTAGGGGAAGATGCTGGAAAACAAAATGGTATATTTTTAATGTGATTAAATTGTAAGTTCAGATTTTTGCTTGAAGCCTGTGTCTGTCGATTGCTGCTCCTTTTTTTATTATTCATGGGATTCCATATTTCTTCCAGAAATGTAACTGTTTATGCAAGTCAAGTGAATCTTCCTTAATGAGCTATAAGTTTTTATTCTAAACAAGTCATTTATAATAGTAAATTTGCATATCTTGATATTTTGTGAAATGTTATGCCTGTATTGCAGAGGTTGGATAGTTTTGTCTATAAATATTGCTGTCCTAATTGTACAGCATGGTTTTAATTTAATGTTACTGTTCAATATTTTCTTCTTATAGAAGAGTCCCCTGCCCCTTTTTTGTATAACATGTTTTAATAAATGTTATCTGTCAACTTTGTAAATGTTTTCTTAAGCTTGAATGAAAGGAATGCATGTCTAGTACTAGTATTTAATTTCACTTTTGCCAAAACGATAAGTGCTCAAACAAAAGTACAAATCCAAAAGCTGTTGATATATAACTTTATTAAATATATAAAGAAAAAGTCTATCTAGTAATGTGTCTTCTTGAAATATTGAGAACATGCCAGCCTAGCCTAAGAAAACACTAAACTAAAAACTGATTTTTATAACACAGTAAGTTGATGAACTTGTGGAATTGGGCCCATTTCTTTGGTGCTTAGGTAATTAGTTCCCATGTTAGTCCAAATTTATCAAACAGGTTTTACTGTAACTGTTTTTTGCAGAATGGTGCAGATCTCTAAAAGTTACAGTACAGAACGTGCAGGCTGATAGGAAAATTCCAGACACTCACTTCATAGTAGCAGCAACCGCATGTCCAAAAAGCTTACAGGTAAATTTGAAATAGGTACAGGTAACGTATAGATTTTTTTCTTGTCTAAGTAGGAAAGAAATATCATGCTGTGAAAAAGTATTCAAGATTAAGTTTCCATTATCTTCCTGTGAGGATTCCTCCTCTCCCTGACTAAATTTAGGCACTCTTACTGAACAATTTACTTTGTCCAGCGTCCATCTATTCAGTCCTCATGGAACTGTCATAGCTGATGCTTCTTACTCAGCAGCTTAATGCTTGCTATCTAAACAAAAAATGAGCTTACTCCAATTTAAAGCATTTTCAGCCAGTTCCTGGAGAAATCGCTATTTGCATATCACACTCCTCAGTCTTCAGCAACTTTAAATGGAATATGGTACAAGCAAATTCATTTTCTATTGCTGTTGGTTACACTTACTGAATGCACGTAAGAACAAGCCCAAAGTATTCTGTCTGTTCAGAATTAGTCATTTGATTTTCTTTTATATGAGTGAACAAATACCATTTGTGTGGCTGTTATTTAACTTTGTTATTTATGCCCTGATCAGGATGCTCCCCCAGGCTGCTACTTTATCTGATTACCATTCAACACCTGATTTCTGAAGACTATCTTCCATATGTTTTATAGGGAGAGAAAGACATACCTCCAGAAGACAAAATGTGATGTCCAAAGTTAGACCATGTGGATATCCCAGCACTACCTACCGGCACCAGTCACTGACTTTTATCAAGCGGTACATGAACTGTCTGGTAGAAGAGTGAATCGTTGCCCTGCGTAAACTACAAGCGTATGCAGGATAAGCTCAAAAAATATGTGCGTGCTTGCTAAAGCAATCTATGTAAGTTATAAGGAGAGTGTAACACAGGTGAACTTTTTAATGCCTCACTTACACTGCTCAATAAAGGCGGTAGTTCACAGCTGGGGTGGGGGGGGTCCTGTCCCAAAAGCTTCTTTACTGCACCTCTGTGTGCCGAGACGGGTGTGCCATCTGTAGCGTGCCTGAGACTTGGGGACAAAAAACGTCGGTCTCTCAAAACGCAGGAGATCGTGCCGTTCCAGAGATGAATATTTCTGATGTGATGCAAAGCTGTTTATAGTAACCTCTAACGCTTTTGTTTTCATTTTTTGAAATTCTCCACTCCTTGTGCATTTTTGAATGCATGTTCTGTTATCAAGCTAAACACTGTGAGAATTCCAGGAACGGATTTGCCTGCGTGTGCCCTGACTTCAGCTCAAGCTTCGGCCCCCATGCCCTCTCTGGGGAGCCGTGCCGCAAGGGAGACGTCAACCTTCCCGGCCGCGGTACGGGCCCCAGGTTCAGCGATGCGGAGGTCGCGGCCGCCGCGCGTCTGG